ATATATTCGGGCCACTGTCCTTCTGTGTTTATACTTGCGTATTTCAAGATTGGCTTCAGTATTGCTGAACAGATTTTTATGCCGACACAGATACATTGTTGTTATTTATATACCATTTTATTGTGTATATGTCTATAATTGCAAGTGACTTATTCATACCAAACTTATTGGTAATTAATTGTATTTTAATTGTAATTTATATTTTGTATAAAGATAGCACTTATGTGTATATAAGTGCTACCTTTCGCATTCACCAAAACTTATAACGACATCTCTGGGTGCTTCTGGTAAATTCTAGAATATTGCAGATCGGTGTATCCACCTAATTTTAGAAATCAATGATTTAACTACTCAACTTTTTTTTTTTCAAATTCAAAGGTATGTCGTGTGTACGGTCATTGAAAAGTACGTGAATAATGGAATCTCACCATACCCTTGTTTTCTTTCACTTTGTGACATACCTTTGCATTTGAAAAAAAAAGTTGGGTAGGGTTGCAGCTAAGGAGTGGGTTAAAGAAAAAAAATTTCATTTTATTGGCAACAAATACGCTCAATGTGTTTTAGCGTTTTGTTTTTTTTAAGTTACTGTTTGAACAGATAATAATTTTATTCCGGACTTTCGCGCAACTCTATATATTTTTTAACTCTTAATAGAGAAAAATTTAAATAAATACTAATTATGAAAAAAAATGGTAATTTGTTATTGATCTATTTTACAGATTTGCATTTTACATATTTTGTGTATACTGGGTGTACCAATAAAAACTTCCAGGTCGGGTATTTTGGTAAGAAATAGAGATATTTTAATTATGTAAAAGCCAGTTCACAGAGCACTAAGAGAGCTTCAGTTTTACATACAAACCGATTATAAAATAGCTTAATATGTAGATGGCGCTGCGCTCAATAAATATTTCTCGATGGGAGGATCTTTCTTATGAATCGCATCTTGTAAAAAATGCATTTTAAGCAGTTTTTGTTACATAAACTAATTCGATAAATCTAGCCATTTTCGATATACAAAGTGGCCACTCAAAACAGTTTTACCCTGTTATTTGGTATTATTCATTGGATTTTAAGAAAATATTACAACAGGTCGTTTTTTATTCCAAATTAAACACATTTTTAGAAAAATATGATACTTCATTTAAAAGCTAATTTTATTACTAATTTAATGCACTATATATTATTAATCTAAATATCTCCATACTGCACTTGCATCAAAATAAAGTTAGCAATAATGTTAAAAATAATGCATAACTTATTTTCAAACCGTTGCAAGTGAAATATGGTGACATTTATATTAATGTTACGTGGTGCATTGAATTAGTAATTAAATTAGCTTTCAAATCAAGTGTCATATTTTATAATGTTACAGTATTTTATTCCGATAAAGGACGCTAAACTTCAAAGTATCACCATAAACAGTCATATTTCTGAATTCCCTAAAATTACCTTTTTAATGGTAATATTCCCTATTTAATATTAAGGGGTTGGAGAAGTGGAAGGAAGGGATTTGACACATGATAGCTGTCTGTATTTTAAAAATGTGTTCAATTTTAAATAAAAACTACCTGTTTTAGTATTTTCTAAAAATCCAATGAATAATGCCAAATAACAGGTTGAAACTGTTTTGAGTGGTCCACTCTGTATATCGAAAATGGCTAAATTTATCGAATTAGTTCATAAAAAAAACTCTGCCTAAAAATACATTTTTTACAAGATGCGCTACATAAGAAAGATTCTCCCATTGAAAAATAATTATTGAGCGCAACGCCATCTACATATTAAACTATTTAAAATCAATGTATATCTAAAACTGAAGTTCTCTGTGAACTAGCTTTTAGAGAATTAAAATATCTCTATTTTTTACCAAAATATCCGACCTCGGAATTTTTATTGGTATATGCTTTCTAAATTACAAATGTATAAATTCTTCTAAATAGTTAGTAACCAAATGGATATTATATTCTTTGAATTTAAGCAATATCCAACGGATCTCACCCTGTATAGTAGTTCAGGATAAAATCAAATTTATTATTTTTCCTGAATAATTTAGAAAGTAAAACACGCTGGTTTTAAAAAAATACAATAACAGATTTGATTGGACTTGGATCATGAAATTTTGAGCAATGTATTGGAAATATACAACTTTACTTTTCCATTTAATGATGATTCTTAAAAATGAGACAAATAAGAAGCTCTTCAAGCTCTTACAAAATATGATTTATAAAAAATAAAATTTTACAAAGTAAATTGATATAATTTTGGTACATTTGATAAGTTATTATTTATTTTAAAATACTTTAATTTTTAATACAATAATTATCTGTTTTTGCAGAAACATTGTAATATTTTTTTATTTAATAATTAAAATTCATTTAAAATATAAGAATAACAAAGTTTCATTTTTTTATGTTGAATAAATATTTTACTTCATTTATTATAAATTATTATTTAAAATATACAAATAATATTCTCACTTACTAAGGCTTTTTACCCATTTATATTTCTTTCTTAACTATGAATTTTGATTCCTTCTATTAATTTCAAATATTTAAAATATTTGAAACACTAATATGTTAATGTATAAAATTGTGTTTTGGTAAAATATTACTGACATCTAGGCAACCAATATTACTTTGCTGTATTGTAAGGAGCATATGCATCATTTTATTGACAAACAGAACATATTATTAATTATTTATTCTCAACAACTTGTAGTGTGTTTATATTTCAAAAACTGTTCCAGTGTACAAAAAGGGCAACAGAAATGATATTAAAAATTATAGACCAATTGCTATTATCTGCAATTTTAGTAAAGTATTCGAAATTACAGTTACCAAATTTCTCTATAGGCATATTGAAAATTCAATTTTACCTGAACAACATGGATTTGTTCGTGGGAGGTCTACTGTTACCAATCTAGCCATTAAAACTCAATTTATCAGCAAAATATTGGATCGCGGTGGACAGGTAGATGTGATCTACACTGACTTTACGAAAGCATTCGATCGCCTTAGTCATCCCATTTTGTTATCAAAGTTAAATATGTTGAATTTATCTGATAATGTACTATCTCTCCTTAGCTCCTACTTAAGTAACCGTTCTCAGTATGTCCTTATTAGTGGCATTAAGTCTCGCTTGATATCTCAAGTTTCTGGTGTACCCCAAGGTTCCATTTTAGGGCCTTTATGCTTTATAATCTTTATTAATGATATTTGTAAGAATATTAATGTACAATATTTACTCTACGCATATTTCAATGATTAATAACAACAATGACTGTATCGTAATGCAAACCGATATAAACAAAATTCAAAACTGGTGTATAAATAATAAGCTCATGTTAAATCCTGCAAAATGCAACGTAATGTCATATACGCGAAAGAGTGACAGCATAAGATACGATTACAATATAGGAGGTGTCGTCCTCCAGAGACCTGACACGATTAAGGACCTCGGTGTTGTCTTCGATTCAAAACTTACATTTGTTAATCATTTGGCCATAACTGTCGCATCTTGTTATAAAGTTCTAGGTTCCATCCTACGATCTATCAAAGATTTTAATAATCTAGATACGTGCAAATTGTTATTCTGTGCCCTTGTTAGATCCAAGCTTGAATATGCCTCAATAATATGGTCCCCTAATTATAGTGTGCCCGTTTTAACTTTAGAAAAGGTTCAGCGACGTTTCCTTAAGAGTCGTCATTATTATTTTCATGGAACTTACCCTGAGAGGGGATACCCACAAGACCAGCTTTTAACAATGTTTGGAATGCAGAGCTTATTTCAACGAAGAATTATATCTTCAATTATTTTCATTTTTAAAATAGTACACCATTTAATTAAATGCTCGGCTTTATGTGCTCAGCTTAACTTCCTAGTTACAAGAATTAATTCCAGGTAACAGCTGCACATTCATTCTTCCCACTCCCAGAACAAACTTATTATGTTAGTCTCCATTGTACCATATGCTGTCCACGGTTAATGACTCGAGTAAAGAAATTGATCTATTTTGTACTACCATCTCAAAGATTAAAAAACTTTATTCCTGATTTATATCCATATATTCCTAATTAAAATATTTAGTGTAATTAAGTTTTTTATGGTTTTGCATCTAATTTCATCTTTATATATTAGTTGTTCCGCATGCGATATGTGTGAGTAACCTTTTTTCTCCACTGGAGTTTTTTTCAGATTACTCATACAATCTCATTTATAGTTTTACTTTAAAATTTGTTTTGCTTTTATTGTATTATTTACAAATATATGTTTATTAATGTTAAGTGCGCATTCTGTAATAGGTCTTGGCCGTTGAATGTAAGAATAAATAAATAAAAATAAATAAATATTGTTTATTAAAGTTAAGTTTTTAAAAAAGTGAGTTATTTTGTCATGTATTGTGTTTTAATTATTTTGTGCTGATTTAGATTATATAAATAAGAACCAAAACAAAATTATTACTAGATGGTAAGTTTAACAAAATTTTTATTATTTTAAGTAAACGTGCTCTTCTTTGATATAAAAAAAATAATGTATATTGATTTTTAAACCAAGAAGGTTTATTTTTATGTGTTTATGCACTTGGTTGCGCGAAGTAGATCATTTTGAAACTTGTTACTATCACAAAAAATATCACTTTATATTTTAAAATTGGAAAATACAATTTAATGCATTTGCTCGCACGACTTTGAACTAAATTTTTGGTATCACTGTATAGTTACAAAAATGATGCAATGAGAAACAAATCTTATTTTGCTCCCTTAATATGTAGTAAAATTTTAAGAAATTATATCTTTGTTAAAAATCCACTGAATGTAAAATATCTTTCGTGTTTCTCTACAATTTCCATCCCCTGAAAACAATATTGAAAAATCAGCATTAGTCAAGTAATTCCTCCATCTCGAGAGTTAGGCGACACTTTTGAAGTCCAATATGGCATGACTGTACTTAATTAATTAATCGAGCTAGTTTTAAAAAAAATCAAATCCACTACTTACTTTTCTCATACATCCCACGAAGTTGTTGTGTACTCTGGCCCCAGGAAGCGCTCTCGTGTTGATACTGCCTCCTACGTAGACGCGACTCGATGAGAGCATCGTGAATTTTCCCGCTATGTGGGAGTGATCAGCGTACACCCCATCTACAACCGCTGATAACTGAAAAGAAAACAAATGTAGTTTAATACGTTTATTTTTCTTCTGTATGTTTTGAATAAAAACAGTATCCCGATATTTATGTGGACTGAGTAAACATTGTTGTATCTACGATCTAGGTACATGTCTGTAAGATGGGAAGGATGGGTTGTTGCCAGATTTTATGTAGATTATAACGTCCCCAAGAGGTGTCTCTTGATCTTTGTGGGTTAAATTTATTCCAGAACACTGCATCGTGTTGGGTTTATTGTATGTCCCTGAATTCCCTATATTTAGGTACTCTCTGAATAGTCCTACGCCGTTGGTTAGTTCTACTAGGTTCCCTACCAAGTATTCCTGGGGTGTTCTTTCCCGTTTTGGACCGAAAAAAATTGATCTAAGAACCGAAGTAAGGTCGACCTTCACCAATCTGTATAATGGATGAAAGTTTCTTTTTATTAAATTAAATATGTTTATAAATATACCGCAAATGGCTTGCCTACGAAAATACGGTAAAGACTATTTATTTTCTTAAAGTAAAAAAACTACACCCTGAAAAGTATTCCCCAGATGCTTCGACTATGCCCAAACCTTAATAAGCTTACCGCATGATGGATTAAAGATTAAGTTTAAAATTTGGTATTTTTCTCTTCAGTTTTTGAGTTATCTGCAAAATTCGAAATTTGCACTTTTCCTCAAATATCTCGAATTAGGTCCATTTTAGGGAAATCATGCATGGAGACAAAATACTAGAGAATTAGATCATAAGCAACTTTTAACATGATTTCTATACTTTCCTTATCTGTACACAGAAAGTAAAGTAAAAAATGGCCGTGACCGTATTTGCTTAGGCAACCCATTTGCGGTATATTTAAAAACATATTATATTTAATAAAAAATAACTTTTATCCATAAAACAGATGGGTGAAGGTCGATCTTACTTACGGATCCTGGACTAAATGTGTCGCGCATTCAAAGATAACATGGCATGGTATAAGGTTTATTTTTCATTCATGCAAAGTCTGCAAGTAGTGAAAAAATCATTGTGTAGTCCCTTGTGTTTTAGCAAGCAATATCCCGTTAATAAGACCAAAATGATTGAAATCTGTAGCCTTAAAAACTATGCCTGGATGTGGTCTCTTTAAGAGAGGTGCCTCTCTAGCCTCATCTTTTTGTTCATACCGCTGCAGGACTTGCTTCCTCACTTGACAATGATCACTCAGAATGCCTTCTATACTCGAACAATTTTTAAATGATGGTGAGTCATCTTGCGGATTGCACTGTGGTCAACTGACAACAATATAATTCTATTATGATTTTCAGAGCTCAACTTACCAGGGTCATTTCAACTTACCAGGATCATTTTATTGTTTATGCTTCGTCAACGCGGAAATTTAAAAAGTGAGATTATTCCATAATATTTACTCCTCGTACAAATATAGCCAAGTTAGATATAGACTTTCCATTATCAATTGCAGAGCACAGTTATGTGAGGAATCATCAATATTTAATATATACGCACGGTACTCATGCCAAATTAAGAAACGAAAAATAATGTTTACTCCCCTTATACAAAGCGGTAAATATTAAACGAACCATCAGTTGTTTACCAATGAAAACATCGAATCGTAAACTTAAATGCACTGTATTGGCCGAAGGGTTACGGAAGGCAGGTGTTCGAAAATATTCCTGGAAGACAGTCTGCGATATCAGTGGAGTACTGTCGTGCGGTGTGTTTTTTATGTGTGGTTGGTTTAATTGAAATTTCTTTTAATAAATATAAATATGGCGTTCTTTAGACCATGGGCGAATAAAGAAAATGAAATTGCACAGTGTAGTGAGATTAAAGACAGGTATGACTTTAACGATAAGGATTTAGATATACAAACACAACAAGTTAATTTAAATATATTCGAATGTTTAAAAAAGGAAAATATTCAGCAGTCTCATAATGCGTTCATAATAACAATTGCTGAACTAACTAAAGTAAATAAATTTTCCGTTTATCCGGTAGTCACGAAAGGGGTTGCTGTGGATTATTCATAAAACCGAAAAACATGTAAAGAAAAACTGAAATTAGTTGACAGAGCTACCCAAGATTTTATACGAAGGACAATTTATAGTTTATATAAGGAGAACAGGGTTCCGACAATGGAAGTAATACAGCAAAAGGTGGCAGATTTTCCAGGATACACTTATACCAGTTTGGAAACATTGCGTCAAGTTTTGTCAGCATGTGGTTTTAAACACAAAAAAATTGAATAAACAGATGGCAATCACCGAATCGTCAAGGATAGTTCAATGGCGACAAGATTATTTGCGTCAGATAAAAGGCTACAGAAGTTCTAATAGACACATAATTTATCTAGATGAAACATGGTTTGACAGTCACGATGTAGTAAATTTCGGTTGGGTTGGCAGTAGTAAAAATTGCTGTTTGAATGGGACATGTTCTAAAGGAAAACGCATTATAATAGTACACGCTAAACAAATTAAAAACTGTGCAGCCGATTATCATGAAGATATGACAGCAGAATTATTTGAAAAACGGTTTAATGAACAGCTTTTATCTTACATTCCACCACAGTCAGTAATCGTTATGAACAACGCATCCTACCACTCGCGGCAACTCCTTAAAATACCAAATAGTAGCAGTAAAAAAGCTCAAATTTTAGCTTTTATGTCTGAAAAAAATATTCCTATTCCTGCCAGTGATAGTAAAAAAGGACCAACAAACAAAGAATTGCTTACTGTTATTAAAGGTATAAAGTTAGAAAAAATGTATTATATTGACAAGCTGTGCAAACTGTTCTCAGACTACCGCCTTACTATTGCATATTTAACCCTATAGAGTTAATATTGGCAAACTTAAAATCAGAATTACGAAAATGTAATAAGTCTCCAGAACTGAGTAAAGAAGTTGTAGAACTCGTAAAGAAAGTTCTAGCAGCAGACCGCCAAGAGCTTTGGAAAAACTGTGTTGAACATGTTATCAAAGAAGAAGATGAGTATGTAGTATTACCCTCTTTACAACCCATCATAATTCAACCAAATGATGACTCTAGTTCAGAGGATTCAGACTGCCATGATTATTTATAAAGATACTTTAGAATTGAATTGTTTTTTTTTCTTTTGTTTTATTTGCAAAGAATTTATTTTCCTTTATGGTTTTTTCTTTGAAATTTCGTTTTCCAGAAAAAGAACGAATGGGGTACAAAAAGGGTTCAGTTCACGTCTGGTACCCTGTTTAAACCAAACGCCCTTACAGGTACACTTTACTCGCTTTTTTACGTTTTATAATTTAATATTCAGTTGTAGCAAGTTAACGAGCTATAATTATTTTTTTTTAAGCACAAGTAAGATTACAATTAAGTGCATCTGTCTAAATAAGGGCGTATAATAACGTCCAATTTATAATTATTCGATTTCTTTTTAACGAATACTTTCTTGCATATGATATATATTAAAAGTATTAATAAAATAAATTTATAAAATGAGGTAGGTATCTACGCCTATGGCAGATCAAACAAAATTGTCGGTAAAGGTTCCGAACGAGTTTTTATGATCTGCAATTGATAATGGAAGAACTATAAATACTATGAATCAGCGATAAATTCGTCAATCCTAAGATGGTTTACTTTATATATATAGTGAATTTTTTGTTATTAGTAGCTTAATGATATTATTGGTATATAATCTGTATTTTAATCGTCTAATTTGCCAATTTTTTTGGTTTCTTATTTTTCATTTCTTCAAAAATGATTTAGTTATAAGCAAAACAATTTTAAAAAATTCAAATTATTTCGAGATGTTAATATTTTTCTATTCAGAACACTTTCTTTTAAGAAATTCTATGGTGCAAAGTTATCTTACAAAGTTTTTCAGGTAGGTACTCATTTTTTCGTTTTGACATGTAGTTTTTGATAAAATAAGAAATATTAAATATTAAAGAACATGCTCAAACCTGAAGAAAAACAAAATATTACAATAGCAACAATGATTTACTCCAAAATTACTGTTATAAATTCGTTTCAATAAAAAAAAAAAAATACAAACTGATAGTATTGAAAGTAAAGCAGTGGGCAATGTGGGATATACTCGCTAATATAATAAAATTTCAGATCCTTTCAATAAAATATATATTTGACAACTACAAAACTTCAATCTCATAAACATCAAGACAAAAATCAAAATATACAGAGTAATAAACAAAAAGTTCACGAATGCTTTCAACACTCCTCCTCATTCGTGTAACTACAAAGTCCGCAAGCTTCTCGAAGTATTGCCAGTCTTTTAGCGGGAAGTGGTTTTGTAAGTAAATATCTGCAAGTATTGATTCTGTTGGGCAGTATGCACACTTGATTATATCTCGTGCTACGTAATCTTTGACAAACTTGTATTTAGTGTCTATGTGCTTAGACCTGTTACTAAAATTATTAGAGCATATACACTTAAGACAACTTCTTCCAGAATAAGAATAGGTCTCTTTACTTCTTCGTGAAAGTCGATTAAAATTTGTTCGAGCCATACAGCTTCTTGCATGGCTTCTGCTAAAGCAACGAACTCTGCTTCCATAGATGAAAGTGCCACACAAGTTTGTTTTCTCCAGCTCCAGCTTATTAGGCCTCCATAGAGTTTAAAAATATAGCCGCTATTTGACTTTCTTTCTTTTTTATCTTCAGCCCAATTTGCATCTGCATAGCCATAAAATTCGTTCTGTGTTTCATTTCGACTTAAGAAAAGTTTTAAGTTCTCAGTACCTTTAAGATATTTTAACTTCTAGCCAGTCCTCTTGAGTAGGCATGCTAACCCTCCGAGCTAGAATTGATACGCTAGCTGTAATGTCTGGCCTTGAATTTATAGACAGGTAAAGTAGTCTTCCAATGATACTTTGATACTTTTTATTATTTACCAAAAATTTTGTACTTTCCGTTTTGCCATAACTTGGGTCAAGAGGAATATTTGATACCTTAGCATCACTTAATTCCATAGTTTTTAAAATTTTATTTATGTAGCTCTTCTGA